CAAGCTCATACCTATGTAATTTATATTATAAATAAAATTGTGTTTTATTCGATGATATCTTTTTCCTCTGTTAAAGGAGATTTAGACTGTTTGGTAAAGACAAGAAAATATTTTCTCTCCCATTCATGACCTTTTTACTTTTATGTGTGAGCGCCTATATGTATTTTTTTGATGACCTTGATTTATGATGCGAATACCCGCATCACCCCTTGTGTGTTGTTGCTCCTGCTTAACTCCCCGGACGACATGCACAGCCACCCTTCCCGCCTTTCGCCACGCGTGACCATTCATTTCCCGGACACACTGATACCATGGACTAACGGCGTAATCTATGTGTTTTGTGGTTCGGGCCACTCAGTTTAAAGCTGATAGAGTTTGCCCCAAACAAGGACGGCCTATCATGGAAAGATTAATGAACTAATTTCATGCATGGCTCCTTGCTTCTGTCCTTCTGTGTTCTTCCATGTTTGGCTGTATGTTCTGCACAGAGATTTACGCTGCACTGCTTGCAACAAGCTTAACCCCAAGTTTAACACTCATGCGTTCCCTTGGTGAGGAAATGTAAGATTAGGATACCTACAATAAAGGCATGCTGAGGATTCTTTCAAACATGCATGTTTTGGTTCTGGATGTAAATTTATTATCGACAGTTGCAGAATTAGATTGGGTTATAATTGACATATGCAAACATTAGAGTTTTTTGTAAAGTGCTCCGCCGAGGCATTTTCAGGCTGGATAAAGAAATCACAGCTGACTCGTGTTGCTAACTTTAAGCCGTCTGGACGGCTCAGTGGTTTTCTGTAAGTAGTGAAGTCTCATTCTTGCCGTGTGATGGACAGACGGAAACCCGTGTCTGCTGCGTCCACAGTGGGACCGTCTCACAGCAGCAGAACAGAGAAGGCAGGTGACCTTCACGTCTGTCTGATGAGTCCTGCTTGTCTGCTCTGTTTGTACCATTTTTCTGCGCAGCGGAGCACACACTAACCTATTAGATATTAGGTGCAAGGCGTTTGAGATAGTGTGTGTGTGTTTTGCCAAGGGACACAACGAGGAGGGTCAGCCTACACTTTAAGAACTCCATGTCTCTTTATAATAAGGGGAAGAAAACCAAATTATGAAACTACGTACCTATTTCTGTCTGTGCGAATCGGTGGTTTGTGCCATTATTTCATTTGGACAGATCTGAAAGGACCCATTAGAAATTTCCATTAAACGTAACAAAAAACATCTCCCCAGCGTTGCTGTGTGCTAAGTGTGGAATGAACTACTTTTTACCAACGCCACAATGTACTATTCCATAGGGATTCCCCCCCATATCTAGCTGTGATGATGTATTAACTGTTACCACGCCGCTTTCTGCACCTCCCTCTGACGGAAAAAAAATCTGCCCTCCAAACTGACTGTAAGCACATGCTGATTTTCAACAAGATTTAACACGAGCGCTGTGAATTTTTTATAAACCACAATGGCCTCATGTTGAAGACGAAATGTTGTATCGCTCCATCTCGCACTATGTTAACAGTCCTGACTAATTAAAAATGCATAAGGAACGTCTGGGATCCGTAAGAGGGGGGGTTATTTTCTCATGCCTCATCTTAAACAGGAAGGAAGCGGAGGAATCAATAGATCCGATCCGGGCTTGAGGGGAGGGAGGCTATCTTCATCCCTCTTTCCATCCTCTGTGCGTTAGCACTTAAGAGAAGTTCTATGCTGTCAGAGCCCGAAGACTTAGTGACTTAATGCAAAGAGGAAAAGGACATCCCTTACCATTAGCACCAGATCTAAAACAGGGGGCAACCCTCAAGAGCACTTAGGAAAAATAAAAAAAGAGAAACCAAAAGAATATACCTTGCCTTAGCCAAATGAGAGTTTTTGTAAGGATGAAGGAAAATACGCAACTGCTGAATGTTGCAATTATGATATTGGTGGCGATCAGTTGTTGATTAAGCAGGATGTGGGAGCATTGCCTAGAGTCTGTTTGGTCCCTCTATATTGTCTTACATGTAAATTGCAGAAGGCGGCCAGACATTGGCATCAAGATTTTTAAGACTTGTCCACGTTTAAATGACCAAAATGATTTATGCAACGGTCCTTTCTAAGCAGCTTTTAAGAAACAGCAACATTTCTAAAAGTGCATTGCTCTTTAAAGAAGGACCCTGATATTCTTGAAGTCTGAGCCACATTTTCATCAGTCTTGTCAAATAAATCTTTGTCAGGTGTTACGATCAAGGACAGGGAAAGTTTACTCAAACGTCCAAATATACAATATAATTCAAAAACCCTATAACAATCTGTTAAGTGTTGCATCCAGTAAACATTTTGCCATCACAATTCTAGGACTCAACTATATTGAAGTGATCACTGTGATTTGGTATACTGTCCAGCTGACATTTTTAATGTGGCAATAAAAACATGGACAGAGTCAAACTCCAGCTCAGGCCTAATTTTATAACCGAATATTCTGTACACATACACTGACAGACTTTGTCATTTTAAATTAAAATTACAATTTCTTTTTTAATTTCTTTATTGATGTAAACTTTAAGTATTAGTCATAGTTATGTTTATTATTTTTACACAATTCATTTTCATCTCTTTGAGTTTCTTTTAAATAACTGAGTCCATAATGTGATTGAAAAAAAATAAATCAGGCCAAAATAGCATTAACTTTAGATTGCTGCAGGTCAGTTACAGTTTAAATGCTAAATACAAAACACTCAAAATTTTGATGATAAGTATGATTACAACAGCTTAAATAAACTGCACTGACTCCAGAAGTTCCAGTAAATAAAATTATTTTAGCAGTTGAACTATAACTAGTTGTTCTGCCACAGTCACATTCAAATCTTCCATAGTTTCTTCTTACCTTATTAAAAATATTTTTTAACTGTAAATTAATTTCGCTGATGCAGAAATTAAGTTCATGTTTATTCACCTTTGAGGTGACCTGAAGCTGTGATCGCAAGAAATGGTGTGAATGCTTCACTGCAGTAATATTCTCAAACAGAATTAAAATTGCTTTTGATTCCAAGGTTAATCAGTTAAATATGTTCAATCAAGAATAGCACATGAAACAATGTTACATGGTAAAACAATGCATCTGTTGTTTTATGCAAATTACAACAAAATAGAACTACAGAAGTCCACACGTGCAAATTCAGAGTAACTATAACGAATAACCAATGACAGGAGATGCATGTTAAAAATATCCAGTCACAGCAAAGTGGGTTGGTTCACAGATTTGTTTTTGCTTCAGCCAGTTGCAGTTTAAAACAATCCATTGATTTTTATGGCTCAAAACCTGTGTTACATGTCCCAAAGGTGCATTAGCCGTGATAAGCAGAAATTGCAGAAACTGCAGCATGTCCGCTTCTGCTTACAATCAGTTCATAACTCATGATCATCTGCTGTTGTTACTTTGACCAGAGTGTGTACCCTCTCGTAGAGAAAGAGGAAGTCTGCACTTCATTTAATCGATTTAATTCATCCTTCCAATAGGTCGAATTTATTTCTAAATGCATTTGAATGTAACGCTATGGCAATTAAGCTCAGATCTCAACTTCTCATGTGCGTTTGCGAATTAATGCCAATCATTTTTGTCGTAAACTGAGAGAGAGAATGGACACAAAATGTTGAGAACATTTCACTCGTATGAAATGTTTAGCATCCTTCCACCACAAAACTTCATCTATAACTCAGGGTAAGTCTCCCTTCCTGCCAGGGGAGTTTAGGGGGTACACGCAGGTACTATGGTCAGCTCTGGTGACCAAAATGCCTCTGGTTCCCGCAGAGGAAATGACGTAGCTAAAGGGTCTCCTCTTAAAGGTTCCTGCAGTGAACACACACCTTTACCTTACTAAATAGGTTAAAAAGCACAGAAAATTTAACTTTTTCATCTTAATGGTGATTTTGGCTCTGGAGTGGTTAACTCAATATGTCATTGATGTCAGATCTTATTCAAGTATTGAAAGCATTGTTTTAAAGCCAAGTCTTGTTTATTCTATATTTTCATGCAGAGAAAAAGCTGGTAATGAATAAAATAGCTCGAATATTTGAGTTTTAAGTTCCTAAATAAACTAAAATAATATATTTTCTTTCACAGAAAAAAATATAGCTGTCCCCAAAGAGTTGTTTTATGTCCTGAGCCTTGTTTTGTCAAAACAATAACAGACAAAATCCTTGAGTAGAATAACAATGGATTGGATAATATAAATGCCTGCCAAAAAATTAAGAAGAGTAAAAAGCCATAAATGAGCAGTCAAATAAATTTAGGACGTAGCTACGTAATTTAGGACATAGGTTGAAACATCTTGACATATTTAAGGGCTTTTAAGGCTTAAATATATCATTTAACATTTTAAATTAAGACTTTCAGGAACCCTGAATAAGATGAAAAACAAAAATGTTTTCCCAGGTCAGTGCTTCCAACCGAGGCAGCAGTAATCTGGCACCATCATCCGCTGGCAAAATAACCAGGACTATTGATTTGGTCATCTATTACCCACAATCCCCCAAATGCTGAGTGTAACACCTCTCTGTCCATTAACAGCCTTCTAAGCTTTCATTCATTCGTTCATTCATTCATTTGCTTCTGGCAGACGGCCAGTTGTAGGCATTGTTTTCAAGATGTATGGAGCATCTGTTGACATGGTCGTTAGTTACTATTTTGCCTGAGAGGAATGGGCTCTGTCGGTGTTCTGCTTGGCATTCCAGCACATTAATGGTTGTGTAACGTAATCTATCAAACTCAGATGAACCAGCTGATGAATTTCTCACAGAATGATGGACTGATGATGGTTAAAAGCCAGGGAGAGATTTTTTTTTTTCTACTGCAGTTTAGTGATACACATCGTATATCTCTTCAGAAAAGATCACATTGGTATTTATACATAACCTTAAAAAAGTAGTTGTTTTATTCTAAGACTATTTGAGCAGAAAATTACCTGATAAATCAAACTGTATGTACCCATACAAGTGTCACCCTCTATGTGTTTCTCCAGGTTGCTGACCAGAATGCCCACTGACGACCGACATCTACCCTCCAGCTGTGGTTCCTACGTCAAAACTGAGCCCTCCAGTCCGTCCTCCTCACTCGTAGACACCGGCAGCCATCACAGTCCCAGCGGCAACTCAGACGCCAGTGGCGGCTACATTAACGGCAGTGGCGGGCGCTCCCACATCTTAGACTCGCCTCCAATGTTCAACCCGGGCATGCTTGGTGGCGGCAGTGCGTGCTTACGCCGTTATGAGGAGTGCTCCGGCAGCATGGCGGACGACTCGCCAATTAAGTGCGAGTACATGCTCAATGCCATTCCCAAGAGGCTTTGCCTGGTGTGTGGCGACATTGCCTCAGGGTACCACTACGGCGTCGCCTCTTGTGAGGCCTGCAAAGCCTTTTTTAAAAGGACGATACAAGGTATTTTTCAAAGTCTCTTTGTGGTTTTACAGACTCCTGTGAGTTGCAGCTTTAGAGTGAAAAAATATTTTTCTCCTATTGACGCCTCGCTGGGCAGTAACACATTTCCAAGCAAAGCATAAGCAACTGGACAAACCTTGAAAATGGGAAAGATATGCGCAACAGATGTTGTCTCAAGGTATTTCTCAAATGCAATCCAAGAGATGTAGTCAATTTTATTTAATTACATACATTCCCGATCGATCTTAGTATAAAACTACGATGTGGGGTAAATTTCTGTTACCATAAAATAGGAAGTCGTGGGTGGAGAACACTGATGGGGAATAGCGTAGCTGTCCACACATTCATTCAACCTTCATGTTAACCGAACAGAAACCGTCTCGGGCCCTCCTAAAAAAAAAAAAAAAAAAAAAAAACAAGAAAAAAAAAGAAAACACCTCCTTTTAAAGGCAAACCCAATTTTTTTTTTTAAAAAAAAC